CTCCGGGCCGCGCTACGCGGTCGCCAGCCCAGCCGCCCCACCTTCCACCCGCTGAGCTCCCGCAGCCGGGTCACGCGCCACAGGCCCCGCCCCGCCCGGCCCGGCGCTGCACTGCGGTGCCCGCGGCCCCGCCCAGGACACGCCCAGTGTGACGTCACCGAACAGCCCCGCCCTGGCCCCTCGCGCGCAGGTGGGGGTTTAGAGTGGTGGACGTCCGGGCCAGTTCTGTGGGTGGTGGGCGGCCCGAGCCTCGGGGGTTTGCGAGGCCGGAGCCCGGATCTTGAGAGCCACCGCGGAAACGCCGCCAGGGACTCAGCGCGACTCCTTCGAAGACTCGCGCTGCCCCAGCCTGACACACCGCGGCGCGGCGGAGCTGCCGGGCGTCTCCAAGCAGAAACTTGCTCTTCAGGACAGACCCGTTGTCTCCGCGGCTTTCCAGCCTGCCCTGTACGTCCCTCAGACCTGGGGATGACTTAGCCAGTAGTTTCAATTTCGTGCCCTAGTTGTGTCCTAGAGAAATCGGGTTTTTGAATCTCACAGAATGTACTACCCTAGGACCCACAGAGCCTTCGATGCCTCCGGTGCAGTTGCCAGCCCGCCAGGCTCAGAACGACGGCTATCGCTAAAACGGGTACAGGAAGGACACGTGATCTGCGTTAATTCCAGGCCAAATCTTGTTACCAGGTGATTAGTTTTCTTGATAGGTATTTGCTACCTGGTCCTTAAGGACAAAAGTGACACACAACACATAATCCATACAAACTAGATGAAAAGCCCCCGAATAGAAATAAATCAATTTCTCAAGGTCATTACTGACAAAGTAAAAATAAGTAATACGCTGTTCTGAAATTTTAATAACTAATTAGCAAAACCAAATGTTAGAGTAGGGTGCATGGAAAAGCAGAAGACAAGGGCATCACTTTGCTTCACCAAATAGATCTTTAAAGCCATGCGTTCAGTTGGAGTCAGCAGCTACATTTTCCAGAAAAAGTAGAGAAATCCTAATTTGTTCTGTGTGAGATGGTTCAGCATGTAAAGACACTTGCCCACCAAGTCTGACAACCTGACTTGGATCCCCAGAACTCTCATGGTGGAAAGGGAGAAACAAAGCCAGTAAGTTGTCCTCTGACTTCCACAGGCAACACCCATACACATAAATAAATTAAATAAATAAATGTTATTAAAGATGGTTGAAGATCTGAGTAAGTCCAATGAGTGATGGGCATGGTGTGGTTTTCTCTGTGGAACATACTATGGGCAACTAGGTTGATAGGTCTACTTTCTTGTAAAACCAGAAATAAAGTACCGCCTGGTAGTAAGATAAAACAACCGCTGCAGAGGCTAGGGAAGGCTGTGGTGGATTCCTCTCTCTGGTTCCCTATTCACATCTAGAGAAAGTAGTAGAAGTGTTCCGTTCAGCTTTCTTTGTTGACTTCTTGGTAGTCAGGAAGCCTGTGTTCTAGTCCTACCGTGGCCTCTGCTAAGCTCTGTGTCTCTTATCTGATAAAATGATTAGTAAGAGATTGGCCTCCATGTCCCTTCTAGGTTACAAGAATCCAGCTTTTCTTTCTTTCTCCTAGCACCGCAAGGTAGCTCAACACTTCTATGCCCTCTCCCAGTCAACTGCGTGGTGCCTTAGACTTTCTTTTCCCTTTGCAGCAGAGGAACAGAAGGCTAATGAGGAGTGGCAGAGGTAACAGCAGAAGACACTAACAGCATGACAAGAGAAGGTGGACCAGAGCAAAGAATATGCTCTGCCTCACCCTCCTCAAACTGCCACTCCCTGCCTTTCAGCTGATACTGTAATTTAATTCTGTCTTCTTGTCATTATAGTTATTGTCTCTAGTTGAGTAATGAGTAATTGCTGGAACCACAGTCCACTCCCCCACCCC